CGGGAATGGAGTTTTTTTTACCTGTCGTTACCCGAACGTTGTATGTTGTATGAGGCGACTAAGGTGGGAACCCCTGCATACTTTTGGGGTTTGCTTTTGTGCCTTCGATTTAAGGTGGTCGTTTGATGCAGTGGATAGCTCACTTGCCTTCCATCAAGGCGGCCGGGTTCGATTCCCCGATCGGACATGAAAGTAATGGTCTCACCTGCCCGACTACATAGGTTTTCTCCGGATACTCCGGTTTCCTTCCACAATAAGATCCCCCGCGCTAACATACGGGCAAACACGAGTGATTAATATAAGTTGAAATAACTTGTTTCATAATTGTTGTAAAATAAATATATATATTTAGGGCAAAACAATGATCAAAGTAAATCTGCTTCACACAATCCACCATTTGGGATCTTTATATTGCCTGTATTTCCTAATACACGTGTGCAGGTTGGGTATTTAGAAAAGAGTATACCTGTTCTTACCCAATGCAGAAGGCAACGAATGTGGGAACTCATGTAGAAGTGAAGGTTTGCTTGTATGCCCTCTGCCTGGGGACACAAATATGACCAAAACAAATTTAAGTCCTGCATTGGGATCTGTATCTTTCTCTCTACTTCCTAATAGATTCCTTTTCCTAGTGAATATTTGGCAATACTTCACTTTTGGCCTTAGTTCCCCTAACGTTCGGCCAAGTGAGGAAGGTGATAGGTTCCGTCGCCAAAACGGGACATACCAAAGTCTATATACATTGTAGTTGCTATTACCTGCTGTACGTTCAGCGTATGTGGTTATCGCACTACTGGTTAACCTGTTGCCACTAATTTATAAACTTTATTAATTTTACAACAATTATAAAACAAGTTATTTTAACTTATATAAATCGTTCTTGTTAGCCCGGATTTTAGCGCGCTGTGGGTTTTCTTGTTGGAGGAAACAGAAGTACCAGGAGAAAGCCTGCGTGGTCCAGCAGGTGACCCCATACCTTTATAAGTCCGATTGGGAAAGGCGAGAGTGTTATCCAATGCACGACCCGACCACCCAGTAATTACAGCATTACAACCCGATAAAAACGCTATATCCTAACAACCTTTTTGATAGCTATTGTTTTCCTTGGTAATTCCTTACTTTACTAATGATTGCCGGAGTGGATATGTTCGGGTATTTGCTTCACTGCGATGGCGCAGATCTGATGCTGACGTTAGGGTGCTTTCTCATTGAAACACCATGTCGAAGGTACTCAGTCCAGCAATCCACCAGGTCACATTATAGTGTCAAACGGATAACACTTAATTGCGCTTTCTCTAAATGCTAAATATAGAGCAAGGGATAACATTGATCAATTTTTATGTCTTCGATAAATCCTGACCTGAGGACGCAAGTACTTGAATCCGTTTTATCAGTTACCTTCGACATCTCCTCCCTCATCACCCCGTCTACCCCTCAGAAAAAATGTCGGAAGAAAGAAACTCAGACATTGGGACATGAACAAGCTACAAGCTATACCTTAGTATTTAAAAGAGGACAATGTGAACTGTATTTGTATACTGAATGTAGATCAAAAACTCTCATAATGTAATCTGTAATGATAAAAAGTTGCAGTTTTGCTTTCCCCATGAATGAAAAACGCTATTTGTAACCAATTTGTTTTACAACATGACAAAGGGTTTGGTAAGAAAGGAACATATTGAAGACAACTACAACGCTAGCATATTACAATAAAAACAGCATTTATTATTATTTTTCACAACGTTATACAGGTTATAAGAAATGTAAGCGCATTTCAAAAGCTGTCAATCTGTCTTAACATATTACTGCATTATATTATAGCAAAGATATAGTAACTTGGTTTAAAGTATACGATATATCTTATGTATAATATATATTACATATAACTTAACATACAGTATATAAGATATATTTTATAATATATATCTTGTATCTTATGAATGCCAACTGCAATCGGTTCAATTAAGATATCAGTGTTCATAAATAACATATAAAGGCAGATAAATGGAATATCAATATCTACAAATAACTTATAAAAAGATATTAATATACATAATTAAACTATAAACTAATTTATATTGTAGTCATATACGGATAAGTTTTGTTTTCTTTTTGCTACAAGTCGAACATTTCATGTTTTTGAACGACCAGTATAGCACATTTGAAAATAATATCCTTCTTGGCATGCATACAATATTAACTAATGATTATTGTAAACCCTCATATTTGACTTATTGTATATCATTACGTCAGTTTGCAAATTCTAAAATCTCGACAACACTTTTTTTGTTTGTTCTTAACAAAAGTATATACAGAATACGTTTTTTACACTGGGTGTTCTTTACGATCCTTCTCATTGTTACCTCCCCTTTAATGACTAGTCAATCATGCAACCTTAATTTAAATACGAAAAAGCTGCAATTATATTAATACAAATATACAAGTTATAACTAGACCTCACAAAGAGTCCTGATGTCTTTGTATGACTGTCTACCCCTGTAACACTAAAAGGCTCTGATCTTAAAACTGTATTTCTCTCAATTCAACTTGATATTGTCAGTTTCCTATATCTGTCAGTTCATATAATGTTTGATAAGCTATAGCTTGGTGACCTATATTCACTATCAAGACTTTTCAAAAAGTAGAGAGGCACTGTCAAAAAACTATGGACGTGGTGGCCAAAATAGAAAATATACAAGTTTTGTTTTGCAATGGTTATTATTTTATAAATGTTTATATTGTCCCATTGTAAACGTCGATTACAATACCAAGTTATACACTGCATGTACATTAAGCATTCAGTGTAGGATTTGGTATATTTACCATGCATAACTATTCCATTATTTCCCCACAAGTCCAAATTATTTATTGTTCCTATCCATATTTATTTGCTCATAGATTTTTGGGAATTTGATTCACAATAACAATTAAAGGAAATATATCTCTAACCATAATTTGTCAACTGAAAATGAAAGTGAAACTAGGTTTGTAACATGATTCGTGGAACGATATACACACATGTAACGTGTGTTCGAGGCCGTCATTGCTTTCTGTAAACCGCAAAATATAGGTCATGCACTTCTTCTATGTAGATTAAACCGAAAGCACACTGAACAGACCTCTTGTGATATTTGAAACAGACGATGACTATTACGTTATAACACTACAATAGTGCTTGGCTACAGATCCGATTAACATTGTTAACAGTTCCTAGGTAAACGGAAAATTGATCTGTGTACTCCCCTGTTGGATTTATTTTATAACCTCAATTGTTAAACGATGACAGTAATTTCTAGATATATTGTTCAAACTACATCGAACAATGTCACATATAAACATAACGTTAATACATATGTGCTATAGATTTAATGCGTATGTACTGTTAACATTGTGAGGAGGAGGCTCGTTCAGTCTATGCCTGTTGCCCGATTCTGTTCGTACTTGAGACATGTACAATATAATCTGAAAAAGACTAGCTTTTACTTGCTGTCATATAATTTTAGTATTTACTCTATGGTCTTTATATAAAATTTATCTTATGTCAGAATAATTGTCTGACAAATATTTTTCTTGGTCAAACATGTTATTTCTTTTGGAAATTTTTCTATCTAATTAAAATTTGTATGTTTATATATATATATATATATATATATGAGTCATTTAAGTGTTACATTTAAATTATATTCTGCTCAAGCTATGAAAAATATTTGTAAAATGGTCAATCATATTCTATTCAAGCTATGACAATCATTTGTAAAAATGTTCAATCATATTCTGTTCAAGATATAACAAAATATTTGTAATGTTTATTTATATTCTGTTTAAGTTATGAAAACCCCCATTTATAATGATCAATCATATTCTGTTCAAATCATAACAAAATATTTGTAATGTATTCAATCATATTCTATTCCAGTTATGAAAAACATTTGTAAAAATGTTCAATCATATTCTGTTCAAGTTATAAAAAAAATATTTGAGATGTTCATTCTGTTCAAGTTATGAAGAAATTACATTGATGAACACGTCTTCAGACAGCTCATTAACAACGTTTACGTTTTGTACAAAAATAGATAAAGAACTGCAATGAAAATAAAATTTATACGACATATGATGGTTCTTGTCATTGTTCATATAAATTGGTGTTCATTGTATAACCTTTCTTTTGACACGAAATCAATATATTGGAACAGTCATTCATTGCAAACATTAAATGTATTACATGCATTCCTGTTGGTATTTGTGAATATTAGCTGTTGAATGATCTCCAATTAAATGGAATAAATACACCAACATTCATACGCGAAATTCAAAATATTGATAATACCTAAGCAATCCGCGCTATAGCTGCAGTGTTTTGAGAGGATTTAAATAAAATGTAACACTAGCAGTCATATTTTGAAAACAATAGTACATAAATAATATACAATAAATGTGCTTTACTACTATTGCAAACATATCCCTCATATCTTGCACTCATACATATATACTAGTACAGAATATACAATGCTACCCATATCTGTTCAGTACTAAAACAAAAGATAAGCCAGTAATATATGAAAAAACACCAAAAAACCACATTGAATAAGATACCAAATACAATGAGATATGCAATGGGTTATATTACGAAAATTAGTTGATCTCTAAATGTATGGGACAACTCTTTCCAGAACATATTTCAGCACCGAAACGACAGACGTTGCTGACGAAAAAGGCATTCATAAGTTGTTGGGATCCAAACTTTATACTTGCAGCAGTTAATTGAATTAGCCAACATAGCGACTGGAATTGACAATATACAGAACGATGTCCTTCGAATCCGGCTTGTATAGACCTTTTATATACTATTATATACTATTATTGTTAATTGTTTATATTATGGCGGTGTTCCTGATAATTTGGCCCAAAGTATTATTACGTGTCTTAAGCACACAATGGTTCTAGTATCACACACTTTCGTACGGTACAATGGTGCTTTCAACCAGCACATGAATCCCAAATACGTCTTGTTTTCATAAAAATATAAATTTATTAAGTACAGAGTGCTATTAGAATGAACTGGTATCACACACAAAATTCTGGCACTAATACATGTATAAAAGCTAATGAATGTTTTTTTTCTTTTTCATGAATGAGATATTACAGGTGTAGTTACTAGTTTTGCGAGTACTTTGAGTGCTGAATATAAACATTAGCGGTGTGTTTCAGAAATGATAAAAGCATGGATATTTGACACAGAAACTTAAGGTCGTCAGCAGATCTATGACCAAGCTACCCCGTAGCCATGACGGCCTCTCTACTGCCATGGTTACACATCCGGATAATGTAGTACTTAATCTGAATCAAGATGTTCACCGAAAAATTCAATAAGCTCCGAGATTTGTTTAATATACTTTATCCATTCATCATTCTCCTCATCTAGGGACGGTAATTTTGGTACCACGGTAAGTTCTTGCTTTGACACAACAGTTGAAAACGTTCCATCACTAGTGGGATTGGAGTACTCGGTCACTGTCGATACCTCGATGTCCATGTTTGGGAAATTTCTTTCGGTGGAGATATGACCTTCGCACTGATAGTACTTGATGTGTTTCTCTCTTGCGAACGTAATCATTCCTATAAAAGGACGGGCAATCCTCACACGGTTTTGCTCTGATTTGGTGAGTACGGATAAATTCGATTTCAAATATTGCCCTTCTATATGTCTTCCCGACTGTAACTTGCAGCGAACATCCATTCGTTTTCCTCCATTTTGTTTGAGTCCTCGACAAATGTCGACCATCATCCACTTTAAATCGGACAGACGTAACTCAGTTACTTTGAGATTTTCGTCAAAGATAAACAATCCGCTGCTCTCTTTGGTCATCCGAACTCGTGCCTGGTATTTTACATCCTGAGATCTGAGTTTGAATGAAAGACTGTTCAATAATGTATCGACATTGCGCTGGTTACATTTCAGAGGTGTAAATGAACCTCGAACCTTTTGTACGTAGTGACGACTTTGACCCCTCACTGATCGGGTGTCTACGTGTTCAGTTCTTTTGGTTTCCAATTCTGATATTGTATAGTCATGCCTGTCAATGTTGAAGAGGTAAAATATTCCAAAAGTTAGCGCTATCCATAAATCCCCATGGTATGTGTTGATGAAGTCTTGGCGTATTATTTCCAATCGTTCTTTGAAAACCTGTTTAAAAGCAGTTGAATCTGATGCTTTGACACTATTAGGTGTATATGGCGAAGCCGTATATAAGGTCTTTTGTTCGTGTGCAGAATGTCTAGGGCCACAGTATTGTGTAAATATGAGTCGATCGTCAGGACTTGTGGAACCGCTGTATACACACTTGAATGCACCGTCAATTATATCGGATCTTCGAACCATTGTGTCAATAGCCGACTTTTCTTCAAGATCCTGAAGGGATAACTGAACAGTCCATAACTGCTCTGGACTTCCCCACGCTTCCAGCATAAGGCCGGGGGTGTCTCTGAATGGCATATCAAGGATGTTAACCTCTGCTCCGTATTCTCGTGACAGCCTTCGTGCCACGTATGTTTCCGCGTACATCACGGAATTCAATACGTTTAATGGTAAGATGAACATCATGGAATCGTTTTTACAGATCGTTTGATCGAAGAATACCGCTACAGATCTGTTTTTTACAATTTCTTGGTAAGCAAAAAGGATTTCGTCTGTCATTCGTCGGAATTCTTTTGCTGTTCGCTTGCCTGAAATTAAATGTCTATGAGTCGGATAGGTAGGATCTAACACGGAAATATCCACTTCACCATTTGTATTTGGTTTCAATATGGACTTCAAACCTATGAATGTTTTCATCAAAAGACATGCTGCATGTCTTTCCTCATTGGCTGAAATCCACGACCTCTCATACCTTTGCCGCTGGGTGTTTTGTGGGACTGAAGATTGTGTAGCTGCTGCTGTTGCGTAATCTTCATCCAAGAGGATGCTGAGAGCCAGAATCACAAACACGACTTCCGAGAAAACTGCTCCCCGAAATTCGCCTATCAGCTCGTACTTCCTGGCCCAGTTGAGGAGAAACGTAAGGATAAGCGTGTAACATGGACGTTTTTGGAGTTGTCGTCGAATAAACAGCATTCTTTCTGGGGCTTGGGCATCCATAAACATTTTAAAAGAGTTCTCATTCGAAACGAAATGTTGATAGATCGATGATCCGATTTTGGCATGGACATGACTTTCTCTTGTCTGATTGGAATCATCTAGACCGGATAGCCCATCAGACAAGGCAATGGATCGTTGTGATTTTATTTTTACAAGTAAATCACTCACAATCCACGGACAGCTTACCATAACCTTCCCTTCTGAGGCCATTGTGTAAGACGCAACGTAGTAGGCTGCAGCTTTTGCTAAGATGTCGCTATGTCCGTCCGTGAACGGATTGGTATTTTCGCTGTGCTCCTCTCCTCCGAATTCATCAAAAAATACTTCTCGAAAATTTTGTCGGATAACCGTGATCTTTTCCTTCAGTATTTGTGCTATCTCGTACCTTTCATTTGGAAAATATCCTCTTTTTGTTTTCAGATTATGAATGATACCGGTTACAACTTCTGCTTCAGTTTCAATTCCATAAAGGGACATCAAATTTGCGATTTTTTCATTGTATTGGTTAACATGTAGACGGGCAGATTTCATGAACTTCTCATATCCTTGATACATAATATCTGGATCTTTGGCAGGAGCTTGTTGGAGTAGGTCAGCATTATATGTGCGACTGTGAGCTTGTTCTAATGATCTGCACTGGCGGTATAACTTTCCTAGGATATTGGCTGACGTATAGCGAGGTTTGTCAGATTTCATCATAAAGTCCGGGTATTTGTCAGGCCTTAGGTTTGTGGCCATCTGCGGTACAACTCCTGTCTTCGGAAAGTCGACAGCATCTGAATGCATTTTGCATAAGTTTGTACATTCCTCGCAGAAAATGTCTTTCAAGTCTGCATGGACAACGTGGGCATTCGCAATTACACCGAGCTGGTCGTTATTGATATATTGTGATATAAACTGTGTGATATCTGATACCGCCACTGGTCTTGAAAGTTCAGATTTTGTAGATTTTGGAAAGTCCATAGGGTCCATATTGTCCCCCGGGGGAAAAAGTGCCGTATCCCAGCAAACGAAGTACATGTCTCCGTCCAAATCTGAACCAGACATCTCGTCTGGATGTGGACGGGGTCCTATTTGGGGAAACACGATACAGTCCACGAGGTGATGAAGTTCTGGCACATCCACTGCCTGGAATTTACGCAGGTCACCAGGGTGAAAACAAGGGTTTTTGGCAACGACGACTTCGTTGTCCAAGACATCGATACCACTGTAGGTCATTCCGTCATTCTTCGTGTGGGAGATGAAAACCTGTCCGTACTCCAAGGTGCCTGTCTCATCAACCGTTCCCATCATAATTCTTCCTTGGTCACAGGGTAGCTCAATCCTAGCTTTTCGAGTCAACTCTCCCAGTTTGCTTTTGTATATTGTCATTAGGACTGACCTGAAGAACACTTCGTTTGTAAAAGATATCCCGGCCCTCTGTAAGTCCTTCCATTTGATCCCAAAGTGCACCTTCAAAGAATAAGGTTAACTATTAGAGTATGCATCATTCGATACAAAGTGTTAGTTCCAAGTCTTTTACACTATTGATTTAAAAACAAAATCTAATAATGTATATGTTGTCTATGGGGATGAGCATACAGTAATTACCTCCGCTAGCGCTTTCATTGCTTTATGGTCATCTAACAGCATGTCAGCCATGTTAAATAACATCTTCTCTTGCAGGGTGAGGAATACGTGGTCTGGAACGCCGCGGCCCGACATCAGAGTGATCACCTGCCTGTTTAGATGTAGCTTCCCTGTACACAAAGACGTGGGAAAAAGTATGTTAAAACGAGTAGAATATAATAAAAATAATACGATTGCACTTTTTTCACAGTTGAAACATATTGATAGTATCAACTACTTATTATAAAAGCCTTTTCGAAAGAAAATAAATAAGAGATAATGTATAAAAAAGTATTTTCTATTTGCAGCTGCCATTCGTGTTGTCAGTGATTCAACCTTAACCAGTCCAATGCTTCAATACTTACGCTTACATTTACACAAACGATTTTCTTACACAGTCTTATTTTTTGTTTCAATTTTGAAATACATGTTTATAATTATGTAAATAAATACAAACCAGGGCGTGTTGTGCTTAGAATTTCCAGATTTTTCGATAGGGATTTGAATTTCCGCATGCTGTTTCTGATGAGAATTTTGTCTCCGGCACCTAGAGTAGGATTTTGTGCTACCACTCCCTTGCAACCCCCGTATCGGATCTGAAACGCCGATGGTACTTCCTCAAACTTCAATTTCTTCGCCACCTGTAAAAAGCACAACGCTATGTAATTTTAAACAGATCGAAAACATCCAACTTACTTAATAAAACGATTTTATCATGCTTAATTTGTGTGTGTTTTAATTTGCAGCACTCTAAAAGTCTGGAAACTTTTTAATCCTTTTCACTTTTTTATTAGTGTTGTAATAAATGGGTAATAAGAGCAAATATCTGTTCTTAGTAAAGCAATGTAGCAGTGCAGTGAATTGTAATAACTGCAGAAAAAGAGCAAAGTAGGAAAATTCATTAAAAAAAACCCGGTGAAATATTGTTTTACAGTAAAATTAAATCTGATATTTATCTGTAAAAAAAATCAACCTATTTTATTCCTTAACCTTTTTCTTTAGGTTGATGAGGATTGTAAAAAGATTCATGTAACAAAACCAATTTGTGTTTATATGTGTCGTTTCGATGATTAGTACGGTATGTACTCCATTCCACTGGATGATGAAGGTGACAGAGTACACTTATTTTATTGAAGATAATAATTCAGTGTTAAAATACACTATTAACACTAGGTATTTTCAATTGAGTTGTCACAATAGCACTGGCGTTTCTTATCGTGACGTCGCATCATTTAATCTGTTCCCAGAAACCAATGTTGTATGTATATATTAACATTAACATTTTCACTGTACCCCCCCCCCCCCCCCCCCCCCCCC